TACTGGGAAAGAGCTGCACACGTCACTGTGATTTTTGTTTTTCTAACTGGGTTGTCCAGAGTCTTTTTTTTTTTTTATGGAAAAGCAGAAATGGAAAAAAGGTTTGTGAGAGGTTTTGTTCATGTTTGTGGCTTCTGCAGGTTTCAGTGTGTCCTTCCAAGGCTCCTGCAACAAGCCCCTCACCACACCCACACAGACACACTCCATCTCTCCAGAGTCCCCACCTTCTCTTCTCTGTTTTTATACTTGTGATTTCTTTCCTCTCTCATCTTTAAAAACGCAAACTTGTGTCCATCTAATCAGTGCACAACAGACTCAGGTAGTGCACAACTTCTACAGAAGAACCGGGATGTAAAAATAAACAGCAATCAGTTTTAAGATCCTGAAGGGATAGCTGTTCTAAATGTTTGCACCACACCATGTTCCAGAGTGTCTGATAACACAATGCACCAGGCTGAGCGACAAATAATCAATTGTCCACCACGGCGGAGCAGCCGAATGCCCTGCAGCTGTGCTCTCGGTTCGGGGTTATGCTTTAGCAGAGACAAAAGGCCAAGTTTGCAGCTCACAGTGATGTTCTACTGTTAAGTGTTGAGCAATCTAAAATATTTTAACCACACAACAGGGATTTGTTTACTTCAGCATAGCTCAGTTTATCTGTTCCTTCCCTTCTCTCTGAGATATCACACATGGAAACACTTAGGATGCGGTCCAGGTTGGTTGCGGATGCCTGTGTGTATATGCAGGTAGGGCTCAGTGTGCGATGAAAGCTCATGTTTTTCCAATATAAATATTTAAGTTTGGCTCAGCATGCCTTTCAGTGTTTCTCAAATATTCTCTTTTTCCCCTCTGTTTCCTCATCCTTCCATCCATCAAACAATGCAAAAGCCCAACTGGAGGGCTACACGAATACTGCCCTCGCTCTCATTCGCTATGTTTAAAAATTATTTATTTTTAGCCAAAAACCTCTGTGTTCACGTAAGACAACATGTTTCCCTTGTCCCAAACCGTACGTTCTGCCTATCATGTGCCGCACCTGAGGTTTAATCCGACCACGCCCGAGTCTTGGAAGGAGACAACAGCTCATTAATGCTTGGTGAGCAAGCTGTCCTTCTCTTCTCCATAGATCCTAATGGCCTACTTAGCTTAATGTTTCTTTCCACACTTAAATTCATTTTCTCTGTAGCTCACCATGTTTCATTGATGTAGTTACACATTCACTGCCAGCAGCTTCTTTTTATCATCTCAGTTGTTGTCGTACTTGTCTTGACACTTAAGGCAACAATTACAGTCGTATACCTTGTGGTGCTTTGTTGCACAATGGGCTAATGAGCAATTTACTGTCTGTAGCTTCCTGACATGAAGAGTGCTTTTGCTTCTCAGCTGCACAGCTCATGGCTCTGCCTTTTAACCAGAAGTTTGATTGTTGGCAGCTCTTTAACCACAGTCATGTGCTCAGTTTTTGAAGAGACTCCCCTTCCCCGTCTACTAATGTGAAACCTTGTGGTCCACTGTAGCACTTATCATTAAAAAATAATTTTAAAATTTTATATAATTGGTAGCTTTCTGTACAATTTAGTCTGGAAATAATACGCTGCTGTAAAGACCTCATTTTCCAAACCACTCATTTACAGATGGAGTCATAATGAGCTTAAGTCACATACAGTACAAACAAACCACAGACAACTGTTCTGGGTTAAGAACAGTTGTCTGATTTGACCTTCAGATGTTTTCCAACATCACCTGTGATGTGATGTCATATTTTAGCATTTAACAGCCCCCTCCTTTAGACTCATTGCACAGCACTAGGATCAGATTTTCTACTTTTATCTGCTTCCAAGTATAATGCTGTCATCACCAAGTGCTTTGAGAAACTGGTTCTGGAGCGCATCAGAACCTGTCTCCCCCCGGCTCTGGACCCACACCAATTTGCATATCGGACTAACAGCATAGGGCGGTCGTGGCTCAAAGAGTTGGCAGTTCAT